GATCAATTGAACTTATGTCTAAATTGCTTGCCCCCCATAATTGCTTTGGAACATTCATTGGGATCATCATTCCTCAAGTTACCTCTAGGTGTCTATTCTTCCTATCAGCTACTTCGTTTTGTGCCGATGTGTATGAACATGTAATTTGATACTGTTTTCCTTGGATTGACAAGTATTCCCCAAATGCCCTGTTAGTATAGTTTGTCCTTTTATCGGACCTCAATACCTTAATCACTGCATTATATTGAGTCTGAATCGCCCTGTGAAAGTTTAGAGAAGGCAGACACATTACTTGCTATGTGAAAAGTCTTTAAAGAAAGCAAGTACATTACTTTTATTTCTCATCAGATATAACCAAGTAACACGAGAAAAAAATAATGAAAGTCATGACATATCTGTAACTATTCATAAAAGTTGTAGAACAAATTTTTCATACATATGAGTGCACCAAATTAAAAGCATAAGAATTCTTTTTACTAGAACTAATAAAATAATTCCTAGTGCTTACCAAACTCATAAGCATTATACACAAGTTTTTGTTTATTTGCCTTTTCATACAATGTTGGATACAAACGACTCAATAGAATAAATGAAGAGTGTTCAATGCACTTATGATGTAGCAACAAAACATGCTCCACACTCTTCTCAGATTCTCCTGCCCAACATTCTCAATCATGGATGCTAAGGTTGAGCTAATCTCCTCTCTGTCCAAGTACCGGAGTCCACTATGCTATGTGTCAGTCCCAAGTCTTCTGTCAATCCCCTTCTCTTGAAAGATCACCTTTGAAATATCAAACGAAACAACACTTTTAGTTGAGTATATTGACACACGTGGATAAAAGCTTATTGGAAATGAAGGAACATGCAAAACATTAGACAAAGTCATAGAATTAATACACCTCATATACCCGTACCAACCATAGGTTATGTTGTACAATCAGTAGTTTGAATGCTCTCTCGAACTTTTGGGTGAGTATAGGAAGGGAACTCACTGGTGACACTTGTCACATCGAGAGGCACCGGAATCTACTATCCATTCTGGTGTTTTTGTGGTGGACATAGAGATAAAAACATGTGTATTATGAGTACTTTTAGCTTAGTGAACATAACTTATAATATTCTTCTTGGATAATGATAAGGTGGATGCATTCTTAGTCATATTACCTGCCGCTCTCTACTTCCTCCTTAACATTTCCAGTAACTTGTGATCCTCATCGGTAAAGACTACCCTTGTCTTTCCTTCATTCCTTGCTACCATCATATTTGCCCTGTAGCCTCCTCTCCCCACGATTACGATCACGACCTCTAGATTTTTTACGACCATCAGTTTCTCTTGCCTTGGGTGGCTTTAAACAAAGACATGCTCAAGTGTCTCACTTCTATACAGTTGTAGCACCCGTGGGTCTCCCCTTGAGCACCTATCATACATGAGCTTGATGCAACCAAAGCTAATAGCGTACGTAGAAATCCACTCGGCCCAGGTATAGCCTCATGCGACTCTCCTTCTGTATCATCAATATAACTATTCCTTAGCCTTTTTCGGTCTCTCACCCAAATGTTTCTCCTTCACCGCTACTTCTTTCGTTTAATAGCAACGACAGGGCCACGACATACAAAGATGTTTAAAACTCCCTTGTTATTTCACTACAGGAAAGTCACTCAAGCATCTCTTATCATGTGAGCACTATTCACGCCTCTTCTATTCTTTAACATCTGCCAGTCCTCTCGACCTCACACCTTGTTCCTCTTTACAATCGACTTTGAAGCCCTTTCCTTTGTCCGCGTTTCTTCCCTTCTTTGCACTAGTTTGATTCCGCTTCAACGACCTCGGTCTTGAATAGCGAGGATGGCAACGATTGAATCCCAACACACAAGACCTTCATAATTCCTATCTTTCTCCACCTTTGTCTCCCTACCTCTTTCTTCTGGCCAATGTTCCAGAGTAGCAACACAATCCTTCTTTTTTCGCACTGTACCTAGTTGAAACCATGGATGCAGATGGAGAAAGCCCTTCCCCGAGTTGATCGTCTCTCCCTGCTTAGTCTATCCAAGTCACGATCCCTTCCATTGAAGCATTCACACGATTGATTCTGCTCTAAACTGTGCAATCAATCCTATCGGCCACGCCTTCTAAGCCACGATCAATGTCGTCCCCCACGCTGCCCTCTCATTCCGCATTGTTCCTAGCCAGCACGCCATAACCGCTCCTCCCCGCCTCACAACGATCCGTTACTCTTTGCGCAAAAGCCTCAGTCCGCACCTTCTTGCGTCGAAATCCTTGCACGATCTTCTTTGTTCCCTCCCAGTGAGCCATGATCGAAGAGAGGACTTGCCGGTAAAACAGTGACCCGAAGGTAGGCATGTCGTGACGGCAGCGTCCCGGAAAAAAGGCATGCCGGTAAAGCAATGATCTGAAGGTGGGCATGCCGTGACGGCAGCGGCCCGGAAAGAGGGCATGTCGGTAAATCAGTGATCTGAAGGTGGGCATGTCGTGATGGTCGATAAGGCAGTGACCCGAAGGTGGGCATTTCGTGACGACAACGACGCGAAAAGAAGTTATGCCTGTAAGGCAGTGACCCGAATGAATGGGCATACCGTGGCGGCAGCGGCCCAGAAAGAGGGTATGCCGGTAAGGCAGTAACTTGAAGAAATGCAACACAAGTAGATGATATCAATTATGCAGACAAACATGTACATGCACATACACAATATTGAAAGGAGAAATTGGTCGGTCGATCGGGATGAAATATTCGGTTAACCCAAAGTGTTGTGCCAACCGGGTCGGGGTAGCCGACTGAAACACAAGTGATGTAATCGGTTCAGGATAATCGACCGAGACACAAGTGGTGCCTACCAGTCCAGAACAACCGATCGAGACACAAGTGGTGCAGGTGCAAGTGCAACTTGTAGGTGCAAGTGCAAGTGCAAGTGCGATATATGACATACAATATGTAACGTGCAAGACATGCACATACAAACAATGAGGTGCAAACGACCGCATATGATAGCGAGTCACGCTCGTACTAACGACCTCGCCTAGGAAACATAGGGTTTAAACCCTTGGATATGCGGCACCACCGCCTCTTGCTTTGGTGAGGAAATATGGGGAGTTTTCTCCCCGGATCCCCGGATCTCCGAGGGCCGGATCTCCGAGGGGGAAACTCTCCACGGCGTCACGAAATGTGCTAGCTACAAAATTTTTCCTCTTTTGTGAACTCTTCTAGAATTTGCAAAGCGAGACAACTACAAAACTTCTCTCGCTTTGCCAAGTCCGAACTCCCAACTTCTCCAATTAAAGCTGGGGAACCCAAAGTAAGGGAAGTGACGGACTGCGCCTATCAACTCCGACCCATCAGAAATTGTGCTATGACTCACAACAAAGAGGAGACACTCGGCTATACGGAGGGTGTTTGGTCACGCACAGGAAGTCCTAACCTAAAAGTTAGCTCTAGGAAAACCAACGATCCATCATGCAGGCACGTCGTCGCGCCGACCCATGCCGGTGCACGCACCCCGTGTGGGCGATCGAACTCACGTGCCTAGACATTACTAAACCTAGAGCTAGCTAGGAGTTTAGGAGATCTCATCACCGTGACGGTTGCAGACGCGTTCTCTTTGCTTGCTTCAAGTCGTCGGCGTCCGGTCCATGCACCGATGTGCCTCGCAACGAACCGTGCAATGAGGAAGAAGAAACATAGAGATCGTGGGGGCAAGAGAAGACAGGAATCAGTGTGGTATGCAAAGTACCCAAAAATAACTAATTTTGACATATGAAAATATAACCAAAATGTACCTTCAAAAAGAGGAGTCGGATGGTGGATCTTGCATTGCAATGCTATCACCGCCCAACAAGTGTTCGCTGCTTCGACGAGGGAAAGCGAAGTGCGCTGCCCTGAGTTTTGTGCACGAAAGAGGCGACGACAGGAACTTCACTGTCGGAGGTTTTCGCCGTCGGAGGAGGCTTTGCCGACGGAAGAGGAGCCAAAGAGAAGGCTTGGTCAGGAAGGAGGAAGCTCGTACCGAGAATGGAAGCCAATGAGGGAGGGGCTGTGGTCGGCCAGATTTCGTCGCCGACGTTGGAGGAAGGACGGCTCGGCGGCGAGGCTGGCGGGGCACGGTGGAGCGAGGGGGGAGGCGGCGTGATCTCGGGCCGAGAAGAAGATGAGGAGAAAGGTGGCGCGACCTGCGGAGCAAGGACGCCGACGGCTGGAGGACGTGTCATCGGAGCTCGCCGGTGAGGAGCACCGGACGACAGGCTTCGAAGGCAAAGGAGGCGACCCGAGCGGCTGATGGCGAGATTAGTAGAAGGCTTCGAGTTCGGGCTAGGGGCTCCGGCGGCGCGAAGGAGAGCTTCAGCGCCGGTGTTTGTTGGTGAGGAGCGCCGGCCGGCGATGCGGGCGACCGAGGAGCTCGGGTAGGGTTTTGTTTGTGAAAAGGGAGGTGACGACGCTTAGGTTTTCACGAATTGCCTCCTGGGGGAGGAACAGTGCGATAGTTTAAATAAAGGGAGAAAATAATATTATTATTGTTATTAAAATAATAATTACAATAATAATTATTTAATTAACCCTCATCCGACACATTTTAAGCTCATTCCGTGGTCGTTCAGATCACTTTTTCGACAATCGGGCCAATTCGAGCCATTTTCGTGCGCGGAGCGACGAATAATATTTGCCGCCTCGATCTAAGTTGTTTGATGCGTGAAATGCCGACCGGCTTTCGCCTAAGCAAAAGCCAAAGCCTAGTAGAATGACCCTGACTACGTGCCCCTCAACACGCGCCGAAAGGTCCTGGGTGGGTGGCTGAATTATCGGATATTACGGACGGGCCGTAAACTATTCCGAGCCATGCAGGTGGACACCCTACACTCGTGACATTAAAAATTGATGCCAACACCCTCAAAATAAGATACAAATCTCAACACTATCTTCTCATCAATATTGCTCTACTTGATTGATGTATCAGTGGCTTTGTTTAATTTTTTCAACCTTTTTGTGCAGATATATGTGACAAAATTGTGGAATCACTGTCCAACAAGCGTAAAGATCATCTGCAATCTGTGTCTGGGGAAGATGCATCCCTTATCGAGCATCACAACATCAGCAATGATCTTAATTTCAGAATCGCTAGTGTGCTACAAAGCACCGGTTATCATTCTGATGGCAGTTATTGGACTGGTTTTACAAATCATGGCATAGAAGATAAGAAACGCCATGTTGCAATTATCACGACTGCCAGTCTCCCATGGATGACGGGAACCGCTGTAAACCCATTGTTCCGAGCTGCATATTTGGCAAAGTCTGCAAAACAGAAAGTAACATTGTTGGTACCTTGGCTTTGCAAGGCAGATCAGGAGTTAGTGTATCCTAATAGCCTTACATTCAGCTCTCCAGAAGAGCAGGAAGTTTACATACGAAGCTGGTTAGAAGAGAGGGTTGGCTTTAAAACAGACTTTAAAATCTCCTTTTATCCTGGGAAGGTACATTTCTGGTTAGTTCTATTCAAAGCTATTCTCCAAATTAGCAACTTAAGTGTATCCTTATTTTTTTGTTTGTCTAGTTCTCTAAAGAGAGGCGCAGTATTATACCTGCTGGAGACACTTCAGAATTCATACCCTCCAAGAAAGCTGATATCGCAATACTTGAAGAACCAGAGCACCTGAACTGGTACCATCATGGCAAACGTTGGACTGATAAGTTCAACCATGTTGTTGGTGTCGTCCACACAAATTACTTGGAATACATTAAAAGGGAGAAGAATGGAGCTCTCCAAGCTTTCCTGGTGAAGCATATTAACAACATGGTAACTCGTGCTTACTGCCACAAGGTATAATATCGTTTTAGTTCAAAGGTTATTCTCTTACAAACACTAGTAATAGTGCACTTGCACTTTTTGATGGTCAAGTTGATTTTATATTTGGGTATATTACACGCAGATCCCTGAGATATATAGGGCACTTCTCACATTAGACTTAGAGCATGTTTTTAAAAGACTATTATTTGCTTGATTGGGTCCCTGGGATTTAAAAGGCCAAAAACTGTTAATAAAGAATAAAATGCACAAAATGACCTACATTATTCTCCTTTACTCTCTACCTCTACACCAGCTCAAATAAAAAAGCTTTTCTTATTTATAAAAAGAAAACTTGAGACCTGAAATTTACCTCAGGGACTAGCCTTTGCGTACAAAAAAGCTTTTGGGACCCAAGTGGAAGGGTTTTAAAAACATGGACAAATTTGAAACGATTTCTTGACCTCAGGGACCTACACATTTAATTTATCCTTTTTTTTTGTTAGCTTAAATGGATGTTTTTTTTGTATATGTTTATAAAGTTTTTGGAGCACTAACTTTGATATTTGGGGTGTCAGTGCACTAAACAGTGTGGCTAGACCAACTATTTGCATTGTTAATAAGAGTTCAATTTTCTTCAAGTAAAATGTCATTGGATGAGGAGCTCATTCAATTATTGAAGAATGAAGGCACTTTTATGAGTTCAAAATAAATAAAATAAATAAATATTGATTCCTGCTAACTACACAGCTGCCCTTGTCAATAAAACATGTATAAAAAATATATTTTTCTTTATGCCTTTGTATTCAATTTCTCATGGACATTATTTATAAAGGCTCTTGCAGATCGGAAGTAAGTAGATTTGGAAAGGTTTGGGATTCAAAGATTATTTGGTATGGTGGAGGATCCGAAAAATAAATAGATGTGGACGGAGATGGATACTCCTGCATGTTACTTTTGATTGAAAAAGCAAACTTTTGTTTGGTGCAGTTAGGGAGAACCTAATGAGATTTTGTTGCTTGAATCAAATCCAATAAAAAGAAAATGATTGCTGATGGGGACTTGTAGGAGATTTTGAGTATTTGGATCATACTAAATCAGTAAAGGAAAAGAAAAGCTGGGTGATATGTTTTATTTCATTCTGGAATCAAAGTATCCAATAACTGCAGGTTTAGTTTAAATGTAGGACGGACCAAATTTTGAAGGAATGCAAAATAATTACTATTAATCACACTATTTGATTTCTTGATGAATTAATTTTGGGTTCAGTAAGGTGTTTATTGAGCAATGTTTTTTTGAAAGAGATGAACCAAGTGAGAGATTAGGAGTTGGTGAGAAGAAAACTCATATTTAGCGGTGACTCTATTTGCTTAGTAGTATTATGGATTATATTTGTAATTATGTTTTGTTTTTTATTTTTTTTGTTGAAATTGATCTTGAAGATCTTTCCATTAAAAAGGTTTAAATTGATGAGAAGTGGATGTAACTAAGAATGTCACCCATAAGTGATGTTCTACAACCCAATTGTAGTGAAAAACATATAAGAATTGACTAGGAAGTTACTCAAAAGTTTTGTGCTACAACTTAACTTTATCATGATCAAGGGTAGGGGTTTAAGCTGAGTCAAATTGTGCTCGAGGCTTGAGCCACACTTAATTGGAGCTCTACTCAACCAATTTATTCTTAGCTTGAACTTGAGCTGATTAATAAAGCTCGACCTCTAGCATTAGCTCACATGTTCGACGATAGCTTTTGAGCTCTATAGTACTTTTAAATTTTTAAAAATTTATTAAAGAAAGCCTATATGCATGCATATATATACATATGTATTTAATATATATATATATATATATATGTTTTTTTGGAAGAGCCCAAGGCTGATTTTATTGAAATAGAAAAGATAAATAAAGGCTGTATGAAGAGGGCCCAATAGAGGCACCCTACCCATACGATATCAAGTACAGTACTACCCCAACAAAGGATACAAATAGACTAAAAAAAAAATTAAAACATGCAGAAAACAAGTAGCTAGAGACGAGCCGGTTTAGTTTGGCCTCTTCCTCTAGTTTTAGGAGCGAAGCCAGATAATAAACTTTAAAGTGTCGTGTCATTATCCGGAGTAACCAAAGTATCATCCATTAAGTTTCTAAGTTCTCCCCGACCTTCTTCCGTCGAGAAGTGTAAACCTGCTATTGTTCATCTGAAAACTGACTCATGTGATCCTTGGTCTGATTAGATATTAGAACCGCAGTAGAAGGAAAGACAGTCGTTGGCACAACGATAGGTTCCAGTGTATGTGAAGTGTGAATCGTCACCTCTGCACCTGATGCTTCCTGAATAGGAGTTGCGGGGCTATCCTGACTTTCGGTCTGAACATTATCCCTTATAGTATGGTTAGGAGAAGAGTTCTCAGGGGCAGACACCATTTCTTGCATTGTGGTGATTCCCTCCTCAGGTTGGTTGTTATCAGGTTTGTTAGGAGCGCGTTCAGGCACGTGGGGTGCACTAACAACATGTTCCTGCTTTTGACTATTTGTTATCAACTGTGGGTGCAATCTAATACATTTTTCTTGCAGGTGTCCAAATATTTTGCAGTGCTTGCTGTAATAGGATTTTTGTACCATAATGATTTTTTGCCAATAACCATTATGAGTTGCCAAGCCAAACTTCTTCAACATGTGGTAGTGTAATATCATTTTCAATCAAAATCTTTATAATAGAGCATTGAGAAATGAACTACAGGTGTGTCTAGCTGCAAAGGTTTTCCAAGGATAGTCCCAATTGCATATAAGATAGGTAGATCAAAGAATTAAAACTTGAGTTCAGTTAATGAGAACCAGATAGACGCAATTGGGGGTTCTTGACTGAGATCAAAATCATGGGTCCATTTGAGCAATTTTGATATGATTGCCCTCGATTGTGATAATTTTTTTGAGAAAATCTTTGTGTAATCTTCTTCTATTCTCAACTGTATCATAACATGTCTTCCGTCGAAAAGACTCACGTACCAAGCCCCAACTAGTTTTAAATCTTCAAAAACCTTCCTGATAATCTCCATCGTAGGGCGACCTAATTGGAACTTTTCAACTAGTAAAAATTTGTATTTTCCTGCATGAGTTGAAATTTCAGCGTCAGAGAAGAATAATGCTGGTTTGCCCGCATTTTTCTCTACTTTTTTGATGAGATTGCAATCTCCATGTTCTGCAACAGAATTATGGTACATCTGCGGGAACATTGGGTATCTGCAAGGTGGAAATAGGAGTTGCGTTTGTGAACCACTGCAACATCGGAGGGTTTGACGATATTATCACTGACGAGGCCGGCGGCGTAGGAAAGCTTTGAGGCCATTAGCGTGCTTCACAGAAGCACATCAGGAGCTTAGCGCAGCTTGCCAACTGCCGCCGACGAAACGGGACGCAAGACGAAGCATACGTGAAATCCTGTTGTCAGTCTTTGAGCACGACGAACGACACGAGACCACTACAACTAGACAAGATCGTTGTGACAGACGAGAAAAAGGAAATCGCTGTACAAAAATATTGCGACCAGACGAGATCGTTGCGACAGACGAGAAAGAGGAAATTACTGGATAAAAACGTTGCGACAGACGAAACCCTGCGACCAGATGAAGTAGACCATGAAAGCGTAGCAGACGCTAGGGTTTGCCATGAGGCGAAACCCTAGCAGAGCGGGAACGACGACCCATCGATCTCTCACACACATACATATATA